GCCAAAAGAGCAGAGGCGAAGGAGAATAAAAACTCGTCAAGCCACAGTTCATCACTCGGAAAATATATCCTTCAAAATAAAAACTAAATAATGACATTTTCACATGAAAATAAAATAAGTTGTTACTTACAGGCCCGAAGTACGAGATGTACTGAAGGAAGTTTTCCAGGATGAAGGGAAATGATAGCAGATGTAAACTTAGATCCTCAGAAAAGAATGGCAATCACTAGAAAGGGTAAATATTTCTAAAATACAAGGCATTATTTAAAAATTATTGCTGTCTTTTTTATTTACAAATAATATAAATATTTAAAACAAAAAGTATAACACTGTCTCATTGTATTTATGAACCTAAATGTAATCACTGTAGCATTAAAGGAAGGGAGGATCCATATAGACCAATATGAGTATAAGACATTTACAATTTACATGAAGTGATAAAATAGTAACTGCATGTAGACCATAGAGACTTAAGGGTGTATGCTGTAATCTCAGAGCAGCTGGAAAAATAATACAGAAAAATAAATTAAAAAGGCAGTAGAAAAATTAAAATGGATTTCTAAAAGTTCAAATAATTTAAAAAATCCAAGAAGGGAAAAAGGAAACATAAAACAGAAGACAAGTAGAAAAAAAATGGTAGACTCGCACCAACCATAACAATAATTACATTGAATGTTAAAGAATCCAAGTAACAGGTGAAGATTTTCTAAATGGATAAATAAAACATGACTTGATATACTTTCTATAAGAGACAAGCTTTAAGTATAAGAAAGGGGCTGAAAGTAAATGTATGGGAAAAGTTACAGCATGCAAACAATATGCATAAGAAGGTTGGAGTGGTTATATCCTTATAATGAGAGAAAAGTTTAACTCAAGTAATGAGTAGAATATATTATTTGAGAATTACACAGAGTTCTCATGTTTTTCTAAATATTTTGGATTTTCCACCTTCCTTCTGCCATCTTTAATATTTTACATTACAGTATAGAGCATTCACACATCTTTGGTAATGCCAAAGCAGGGATTTACCCCCATATTAAAAGGGACAAGATTACCAGTGCAGAAAACAGTGAATCAATTATTTCCAAAGAAATATTAGGCCCAAAATCTCCTAAAATCTAATCTGTGGACTCCAGCTGCCTGTGTATTATATTCATGATGTCTTACCTCTTCACAGAGCCTCCTCCATTGATGACTGAGTTTCTCAGGAAGGCCTTGCTTCAAGGTCAGAATGTATTGATTATAGTAGAATGACTTCGGAGGCAGAGTGTGTATCTATGAGTATATATCTAATGCTTAGGTGGAAGAATGCTAGGGATCCCCTAATGTTAGCTAATTGTGCTGAATTTTTATTTTCTAAAGGCAAACTCACAACTTTTAATTAAGGGAAAGAAGAAGTAATCTACAGACAGGACCTCTATCAGGAAGGAGGAATGCTATTGGCATCAATGTGGGAAATACCAGGAGAACCTCTTTTGTCCACATATTCAACACCATCAATTCCCATCTTTTCAGAATGGTCTTTGAGCAATCTTAAAAGAAATTTTACCATGAAGGATCTTATATTCATGACAATGGATAATTTGCTTCTTCTATTTTATTTGTAGCCATTATTATTCTGGGCACTAAAACAGTAAAAATCTATGATCGTAGAGTTCATATCTGAGCAGACCACCTCTGTATTTATGACACACTGCTATTTGATTGAGCAAGGAAAAGATGCAACTTACCGAGAGGAGGAGTTCAATATAATTTTCAATCAATTTGACTTCAAATGTTTTCTGATTTTGCTGTGACCCCGTATATTCAAGTTACCAAAACAGAATTAGTTACTAAGTGAAAAAAAATTCAGGACCAATTGGGTTTAATTTATAATCTACAGAAGAACACATAGGTGGTCTAATGGAACATTTGACTAGATAATAGCTGAGGTAGCTTTCTATTCGCCACCGGTCCTAGGAATCATCAGAGTCCACAAGGAAAAGGAGATGATGGTGATTAGTGCACATGGCTTTGTCCCATTGTATACCAGATATTCTACTGAAGGCTTTATATTTGTGGTCTCTTTAAATTTTTATATTGGTCCAGTGAGGTGAGTGGTGTTATACCATTTTGCAGAGAAGGAAATCGAGCCTTCCCAAAGTCAGACAGGAATAGTAGTAAGTTGTAAAGATAAGATGAGGGCTCAGGTCTACCCATCTAAAGGCGTCCTCTTCAGGGCTCTCCAAGTCCTCTTCTTCACACCTCTCCACGTTAATTTGCACCCTTCTCCTGTAGTCCTATTGGCCATCTTGCCCTAAGCTGATTAGGACATTCCAGCATTGCATTACATTCACTTAGGCAATATGGAAGAAAGGTTTAGGGGCATTTCAGAATTGTAAACTAAAGAAGCATCATTTGATACACTGAGAATGAAGGTTATAAATGCCAAGTTTTTGAAATATGCCTGTCTTCATGCAGATTGCCCTCCAAGAGAGGGCGGTCTATGCTGCTATATGGTTACAGCCCTGAGTTTTTCAATTCCCATGATATCTAGCAAAGTGATATAATCAGGAAGGTTCTTGATAGATATTGGAATGAAAATGAGCTAGTTATACATGGGATTATTTGACCAGTGGCTGACTAAATTAAAGTCCATTAAATAGAAATTTTTTATCATCTTTCTCTTAACTTACGATGAAAATATCAAGCCCCTGTTCTCATCTAGTAGAGCAGGAAGTCATTTCTATTTGTGCAAATGGAAAATATATGTCTGTCTGGATAACAGACAGATGTTGCTTTATGCCAGTGGTTCTCATCTCCATAAAACTCCAAGTCCTCTTTATATTTACATTAAAAAGTAATAGCAGCTTTACTGTCTGATATAGAAACTCATAGATTATATAACTCATACAAAATTTTACAAATAAATGAAATATCCTATATGAAAGGTAAAAGGAGATAAATATAACACATTTCATCAGAAAAATGTCATACATGACATTAAAAACTTATAGAGAAGCAATGTATTATCATAAATATTGTTATTAATACTGATTATAATACCATGAATGCAACTGCAAAAATACAGATATGAGTGTTACACTGGTCATTCAAAAAACCATTCACAACATTGCAGTCACTGTGGTCATCATTCATTGCAGTGATTTTTTTTCCTCAAACAATCAAAACCTCTTGGTAAAGTTCCAAACAAATCAAATATAATCTCCTTTGATTTATACAGTAGTTGCATTCCAGGAAAATTCAGTCTATATACGTATATTAAAACTGTATAAAACATTTTGTGATTATGTCCAAAAGAGTTAGGCTTTAGGCTCCAGGATGTCTGCTGGAACACTTTGTTGTAAAAAACTGCCTGATCTAGGTTCCCTGAGCTCCATTTCCAAAGTGCCAAACACAGTATCTCGATCACTGAGACTTAACACAAAGGCTACCACAAATTTCCAAAGCATCTCTGAAGAGGTAGGAGCCACCTCCTTGAAAACCACTGCATTTTACAGCTGACTGAGTTCCTGAAAAGCTATGTGGACATTGAATTTTCTTACCTGAATCTGAATTTTAACATACAGTCATACCTTGATACTCAACTGCTTTTAAACTCAGTGAATTTGGTACTCAACACATTTTGACGTGAACATTTTGTCCCAGGATTTGTCTTTTGTTTGGTATTTGACGTGCAAGCTAGAAACTTGCTGGTATTGATTACATAGTGACTGTCCACCCTTTCTAGCCAAAACATTTGGTACTCATCATTTTTGGTACTCATCACACCTCCTGGAACCAATTAATGATGAGTACCAAGGTACTGCTTTATTACATTTTCTTAAAATGATGTGCATTCTTGGGAAAAAAAATGACAAACTAGTTTTTGAGGCATCAACAAATGTGCTCCTGGTTCACTATAAATAATATCCTTGGCTCACCTTTGGAAATGACATAAGACACTATTCACTGACGCAACTCAAGTGAGAAGGCAGAGTTTACATACACGTGTACAGAAGCAGATAAACAAAAAGCAGGTGGACCCAGATATGGCAAAGAGGCACTGGCACAGCTACAGGCATATGTGTGTTCAGCTGACTCCAAGACTAAGCAGGCACAGGCCCTTGGCTCTCTCACAGGCTGATGAGGTCAGTTCAGGAAAAAGGTGAGCTCAGGGAAAGGTGGATATCAGTAGCCAATAGGAGGCTAAGAGATTATGACAGAAACACAGGATGTGAGTCAGGGTACAGTGTGAATGCAGGAATGCAAACAGAGGATTAAGGATCATTGAAATGCCATAGTTGGCCCAGGTGAAGACACCAAGGCTCTGTGAGCTACCTGGTCAACGGTGCTCCTTGAAGACACGTGCTTCTGGAGGAGCTTGTGGTAGATGGCTCAAAATTATATTTTACTCCAGATCTGGAGTAGTAGCAGTATGCAGTCTATGGGCTTCTTTCTGCCCTGTTCCCAAGACACCTCTGCTACCTTTCCATCTCTGGAAAGCCAACTCACTTGGCTGTGTGAGGTGAACATCTGTTCACCATATGCACTGGCCATAGCAGTGTCTCATCTGTCCCTTTGGGAGAAGAAATGGTGGGCATGACTTCACACAGAAATTCTGGCAGGCCAACAAAGACCACCTTCCACGGTCCCTAGGCACAAGCCTTCCCTGCAGCTAATCATACATAGCTCCAGCTCACTGCAGTTTTCACACTCGTCTCAGATCCCCTTTTTAAGAAGGCTCTGAAAAGCAAGCCCAGCCAGACTCCAGTGCCTATTCATCTCAAATTCACAGGCACTGTGCCTCAAATCATGTGAGTCAGCTGTTTGGCAGGCTTTTTTTTAATGGCATGATTGCCTAGGCCAGTGGTGGCAAACATAAGTAAGGTACACGTGCCACAGCAGGCTGTTTGTTATCATTGAAAGCTCTGAAAGTTTAGCCATCACTTGCCTGGGCTTTCAGATACTATTATGAAACTTTTTATCATTTACTTAAAGCTTTATCTTTTTTCTTTTAGATTTGCCATTTTAGTTTGATGGAAAGAGATATTGTGGAGAAGTATTTGAAGAATTGCTCAATGGGGCTGGATGATGCAGTGAGTCATAATCCCTGAGTATTCTGGGAGGGCCCCTATAGTTGTCCCATTTTTCACTGTCTTGCAACTCCTCATGACTTATAGTCACTGGTTATTTTAGGCAATCAACCCTGGAGTGGAAAGAAAGAGGGTAGAACTGATTCCCAGGGAAGTTTTGAGATTTATCAGAAGAGCTGCAGGAAAAAGGCCCAGCCAGGCCTTGCCTTAGGGCCACCTCTACCCTGGGTGAAGGAAAACAAGGAGGTCTTTTGCTGTGTCTTGCTATGCATTCAGAACTCAACATTGATGCAGCCTGTCTGTTATTAGAGACAGTAACCAGCCAACAGCAGAGTGTTTCACCTGCTGCTTCACTATGGTTACACATAACTTCAGGGCTGAGACACATCCACTTCCCCCTGAGGGAGGAGAATATACTGTATATCATGCAGGCTCTGAGTCAAAACAGGGACCTCAAAATTGGCTTTCAGAGAAATACATTTTTTCCTGAACATTCTTGGTGCTTGCAGCTTTCAGGGAGTTCGTCTCTCACAGGAGCTTGTTTAGAGAAAGCTGCAGGTGATGCCACATCCCTTCAAGAGGTCACACATTTCACTTACTGGGAGAAGTGTGTGCAGGATTCTCAGCAGAGCAGGAGTGTTATTTATCTCCACAGCTGCGGCCTGAGTCTGGTGTGGTGCCTAGCACATGGCAGCAATGAATGGATATGAAAGGAATGAAGTGACTGAATGAGGGAGCCATTCCTCCTTCTCCCCACCTCCTCCTCTCCCCACGTCCCCCATCCAACTGCACCCCTCTTGCAGTTCTTAAAAAAAACTGGAACAAAGCATAAAATAGCCAGGAAACAAGTAATCAAGGTTAAGTGCTTAAGAGGGGGAAGCATGTCTACACTCCTAAAGAATGTAAACCTGGAAGCAGGAACACCTGAATTTTGCCACTTGTTAAATAGGTGACCTTGGACAAATTGGTTACTATCTGTAAGCCTTAAGTGGGGTAAAAATATTGCCTACCTCATAGGTTTATTAAAAAACATAGATAATACCCAAAGGGCTTGATACACTGGTTGAGATTTTAATATTTAATACAGTACATAATAATTGCTTATGTAATTTCTCCATATGCTTATTAGCATGCCGTGTGAGGCAACCTGGCCATGTGACCACAGTCGGGCCTGTACTTCTCTGAGGAAAATTGCTACCTCTTCCATCTCTGAAGCACCTCAAATCTCTAGAATTATTCTTAGTACAGATTTGACCATTGATTAGCCTGGTTGCCATGGTTACATTACCCAACCTTTTGGGCTTCAGCTTCTTCATTGTGAACAGGGATGGCTGATCCAGCTCTACTAAAAAAATAATCACATGTGAAAATGATTGGAAAGGGTCTTAGAGTCAGAATGAGTTTTTGGTTTATGCTATTATCTAGACAGCTAATATTTTAGGATTAGTTTTAAGATTAGGAAGGGATATACAAGTCTGGGGGCATTGTGTTTATTCTAACTCTACTGACTTAATATGCATCAGTGAACTGAAAGATTCATGATTCATAATCATCGTGCTTGGTGTTCTAGCTGTGTATAGATCAGTAAACATAACCTCTTTGGAAAGCTCAGAAGTCACATGGCCTCAGTTTTCATTCCAGTGATGCTCCCTGGCTTTTTTTTTTTTTTTTTTGCTTAGATAATTAAAAACAAAAAGGTCATTTTGTTCAACTAGTAAGCAGTCCTTTCACCCATATTCAGGGAAGCAGTTTAAATAAAAATCACAAAAATGGAAATATTGCATATAATCATCTCCATAACCATGTGGACATATTTTGAGAATATCGTGCTGAGTACTTCAATATAACAATTCTAGCCTGTAAGTAGATGCCATTATCTTCATTTTACAATGAAGACTTGTAGTAGTTAACTTGGCCAAGGTCACACAGCTGTGAATTGTAGAGCGTTGCCCTTTTTAAATGTCCACTTTTCATGTTTTGTTTCCTCATGGATGGTTGAGAGGAACTGACAATCCCCTCCATGATGACAGAGAACAACAAGGTAGAGTGACATTTGGAGTACTGAATGACTCAGGTGGCTATTAATCACCTCTGGAACTGAAAAATAAAGAGTGAGCTTGTAGTATGGATATTTGTAGTCTCTAGAATCCCACATGCTTGTACCCATAGTTGTGAAGCAGGCCCATTCTCCCTGCAGGGATCTATTGGGTGGCCTTCCATCAATGAACCTGTGGCTCAGTATCCTTCATCACTTATGGAGCACATTCTCTGGATAAAGCTCATCCACACTGAGAATCTAGAAGTGAGAAAAGTGGAAAACATTGTCCCTGTCCCCCAAAGACAGCAACTATTCCAGTAGGATTGACATAAGCAACTAACCAGGTAGCTAAATAGAGACAAATAGACGAATAGATGGGTGGATAAGAAGAGAGTGACAGATATAGGAATAAAGGCCTCCCAACTATAGAGTCTGGTCTCAAGAAAAAGCAAAAGATAATTTTTCACACTCTCCGCTCTTTTGCATCTATATGAGCCCAAATTCAGACTGAGATGTAGCTACCATGTCTCTTTGGTTTGAACAGCATTAGCTGTTTCTCATCCCACTTGATTATGTTATGTAAATAATAGCCTCTGAATAGGAAAAACATGACAAAATAAAAATCTTTCTCTGATATTAATGTAGGGAGCCAAATAGAATAAATAATTTTTATATCTCGCCCTGAGCGTATAGGGGAAAATGCATAACCTGTATATTCAAAACACTTAAATAAAAGATGAAGTTGAAACAGAAAGTCAATAACCAATTAATTATCTTATTACAAGAAAATGTAACCCACTTCATTATTGTAATGGCAAATGTCATTGGAGTGAAAATTGACCAGACTTCTTATTTTAGAAAAATATCTGATGCCTGGTTGCAAAGAAATTTTGCTCTTACTATCTTTTATTATGCTCTCCATAATGGATTAGAGCCTGTGAGGACTCATTAGCACAACACGAATGTTAAGGATATGTTAAATAACATAAAATGTTTTGGTACTGTTAATGTGATAAGATTGGGTTAAGATATGGAATTTGAGCTTATGGTGGTGCCTTTCTGTAACCCAGCACTCTAGAAGACTGAGGAAAAAGGTTTGCAGATTTGAGCCCAGCCTTGGCAATTTAGCAACTTGAGAAGATCCTGTCTTGGATAGGTAGGTAGGTGGGTGGATGGGTGGATGGATGGATGGATGGATGGATTGATTGACTGATTGATTTAAAAAGGGGAGCTGGGGAAGGTAGCTTGGTACAATGGCCCTGGGTTCAATCCCCAGTACCCCTAAAAAATAAAAAAAGATGAATTTATAATTCTATCTGAAAGTGAACCTATCTAGTTTTGAAGATTTTGACAACAAATATGAAATCACAGATAACTATATAAAAAAGTAGATATCAAATTGGAAAATGAAGGACAGAAGTTAAAGAGAGAAATAGTTATTTTTATATTCAAAGCAAGACTTCCCAGATAAACCACATAACTGATCGCATTGTAAGCCAAGAAGTTTACTCCTAGCTTTATCAAACTGGATTACAATTAAGGCTCTCACATGTAAAATTCTTTTTAAAAAAATATCTTCCTTTTCATGCGTTTCTGTCATGTTCACTCATTGTGATTTTAAGAGTCTAGAGTGCTGTAAATAAAATGGAATAGGAAAAGTAATAAAAGCAAAGCACAACACGGAGAAAAAGAGTACTCAGCAGTGAGGGCATGCATGATGATGAACACCCAGAGTACATGCAGTCAGACCCTTCCTACAGAACTGGAATGGGCCACCACAGCATTCCAGTCACTTTTCCAACCTATGATTAATGAATGTGTGCTTCATTGATGGCACAAAATTGAAAATGTTCTGAAAAGTGAGTGCAGGCATTTCAGAGTGCCCACAGGAGAAGGGGAGTAGTCCACCATGACACCCTCATTCTCTTCCCCACCCTTATCAGACTGTGGAGAGCAGAGTGCCTTCCAACAGGTAGGTCTTAGAGGGCACAGATGTAGGTATGCATGAGTAGGATGTGTTACTCTCTCTTCATGTGTTTCAGTCCTTGAATTTTTTATTATAATGAATGTGTTCATTTTCTGTTCTCATGCCTAGGAACATATTGCAGTAAGCATAATCTTAAAAATTGAAGAAATCCATTACATAAACAATTAGTTTAAGGGGATAAAATACATTACTTTAAATTATTGAAAATATTTAGTACTCTACCAGCTCTGTGTAAAATAATACTTTAAGAGAAAGTCACCCTTTGAAAACTCCAGCTCCAGAATACCACACTATTAGTCTAAAAATACAAGGTTGGCACCAAGCCCAGAAGATTAGCAAGTGGAGCTTTGATAGACCAAGACAGACAGGGATTCCAGAGGCCCTGTTAGACATGCCTTGCCTCCAGTTGCCTATGGTCTAAATTGGGGATCCATTAGCAGAGACCCACAGTGCATTTCAGCTGTCACTGTTTGTGTATTCAGAGAGAGCTTAATTTTAGCTAGGACAGTGACTTGGTACCTGACACTCTAACAGGTTGGAATTTAAGAATTCAAGTTGAGAAAAGTGAAGACATTTCTTTTTTGTTGGAAGTGGTTTTAAAAATGGCATGAGTGAGTAACACAGACATGTTATTGTTCATTAATCCTAGAAGCTTGAAAAAATAGTATCTCATAGATCTCTAAATCATTTGTAGAATGGTAAAATGTACATATTGCTTATCTATCTATAATAAAGCAAGCCTAATTTTTACCAGCTAATCATGCATGACGATGATACTTTGATTTGAAAGCTTTGTCTTCATTGCTAAGTTTGTCTCTGATACCTCCCCATGCCCTTAATCAGGCACAAGGGCTCACTTATAATCTGGGCCTCTCCTGAGCCTACACTTTTTTCTCTTTTTTAAACTGTCCAGCAATCTCTTTTCATGACAACAGTTTTATCAGCCAAAAGACAAAGGAGATTAAACCAAACAGTATTTGCAAAAATATGTGTAAAGAAATGCCAATTGTCTTCTGCAGATCAAAATTAGTATATTAACCTAACAGTAGAAAAATGTGTTTTCCAGTTTAAATCTTATATGGTCAGAATTGTACCATGAGTTTCTACTATTGGCTAATTACATATTTTTTATCTTCAGATACAGGATAACACAGTTACAATTAATTTATTTCAAGGGAAACAAATACTCTTAGTCTCTTCTTTCATGGACTTATGTCTCCTTCATTTGTTTTTCTGGATTGAATGTAAGATAGTAGACCAATTTTAAAAAACAACTCTCTAGAAACTATTGACCTTTTTTTAAAAAAATAAGCCTAATTACTGCAGAGAAAATTTTATTTAATTTGTCATATGACCTTGGACTCTGAAACTGTTTCCTTATCCTTAAATTGAAATAAAAACAACTTCCCTGTTTTCTCTTCACAAATAATGTGAGATTCATTTTTCTCTTGGTCATGAAAAGTCTCTAAACTATACTGTTACATAAATGCAATCTAGCATTATCCATTGCTGATCTCTCTTTAATGCCTTTCATATGTTCAAGGGTTTTGTTAAACATAATCAGGCCATTGGGTGTCCATGGTTCTATTTCAATGAAAGAAAGAAAAAAAAGTATCAGGTCTAAATGTGACTGAGCACAGAGGAAGGGGCTTCTGAGCTGCCATACCACTGCTCCCAGGACAGAGGAAGGGGCTTCCGGGCTGCAGTTCCACTGCTCACAGAGCAGAGGAGGTGAGCAACATGGGCACCAACAGCACACACACACACACGCCCATGCCTACCAAAATGAGAAGACATGTAAACAAGTCTCAAAACCAGACTTCCAGATCACCTACAGCAACCCCAAAGGGAAATGAGATGGAACACTCTGATACTCA